GACATCGTCTAAACAATTTTAAACAAGATTTTATTGTAGATTATACATTTGACTGATACCAATGGTATGATATTTACCTTGTTCATTAAAAATAAAAAATAAAAAAAAAATATATTTTTTAAATATATATTTTTTAATTTAATATTTTTTTTTGTATATGAGAAGAGGTGGGGCGGCGCCCCTAGCGCCCCTATGGGCCGCACGCCACTGCGTGTTCCCTTGACAAGGGGTGCTTTTCACGGCGGGGGTGCATAATTCGGCACAACACTGGCCATGGAAAGAGTGTGGGTATGCTGCATACTCATAAGTTTAACATTGGGAAATCAGTAGCTATCTGCAATGTAAATCCTCAAGCTACGGCATGACTTTACTCAGTAAACAGGTCAAAGGCCAAGACTCCAACGTTACACATGAAAAAAGGAGAGGCAGAGGAACCTGCAGCAGTTATTGGCCGTTATTTTTCAGCCTTTAAAGTTTCGATTATGTTCTTGAATATATTGCGAAAACAATAAAGGGCCTGTTAACGTATAATTAGTGGAAAGAACTAATAGGGAATATATCAACATCACGAGGCTCAAATGAGAGAAACGCTGAGTAGATAGCGAGGCGGAAGGCACATAGAGATAACTTATAACTGAGGTAAATTTGGTTAGGTTTCTAATTTAAAGTAACTGTAGGCCTACGTACTTTTTTACTTTACTTACCCATTCTAGGACACGGATAAACCCAAGAGGTTCTTTCAATGGTCCCAGGTCCAGAGTAAACCCTGAAGCCAATTTCTGAGGATGAAAAACAAGGTGTGTAAAAAGACTACTGATTGAAATATAGTTAGCAAGGTGTAAACAAACTACCGTTGACATTAGACTCCAAACAACTAGTCATCGTTACCTGTTTGTCACCTTGTGGCTAATTGGCCCAGCTCTTGTTAGCCAAACCCTGCTAGCGATATGCTAACGCTAACTTGTGTCAGCATGTGTAACGTCACCCAGCTTACTAACCTACCTGAACAGAGTCCATGAAGACGATCAACAAGTGGGATGCTTGTATTTTACTCCTTAAGTTGTCAGTTCGTTGCAAAGCTAACCTCAAGTTACTTCGTTTGCATTCGAACAGTAGCAAGCGATACAACGGCTACTGACTGTCAGCAGGAGGCAGAAGAACAGGCAGCAACTGATAAGGCTAGTGTGTAGTGTAAACTCAACAGACAAATTCTGTTCAACTGACCCGCAGTCAAACCAACCAAAATAAAAATATGCGCTACTTCCGGTTATTACTTTTCAAAATAAAGAAACAAACTAATGGCTTTTTCCATCTTCTTGATCAAAACATTTTTGTATGAACACATAATCGAACATAAAATGATAATTCTGGAATAAATAATAGAACGGTAGGCCCTTCCTTCATATAAGACTTACTGACCCATGTTAAAGACGCTGCACATCCGTAAAAATGAAAGGTGTGTGATACAGTCAGTTATGAGTAAAGCACATGTCTACTAAAAAATAAAAGCACATTAATTGTCAATATCATAAACCAACAGTTAGCGCAAATTCGGTTGGGAATTTTAGTTAATATAGTTATCATTACCCCACCAATTAATGGAGTTTTTATCACACTACCTTATGTTTAAAAGGTCAATTAAGACAATAAAAAAGTATTGAGCAGATATGTGTGGCCTACCAAGTCTGTATGGCTTTG